CTTTAGCCCTACTTCTCTTTTCCTTTAGCCCTACACTTTTCCTTAGCCCTACTTCTCCTTTCCTTTAGCCCTACTTCAGTTTTCCTTTAGCCCTACTTCTCTTTTCCTTTAGCCCTACTTCAGTTTTCCTTTAGCCCTACTTCTCTTTTCCTTTAGCCCTACTTCAGTTTTCCTTTAGCCCTACTTCTCTTTTCCTTTAGCCCTACACTTTTCCTTAGCCCTACTTCTCCTTTCCTTTAGCCCTACTTCAGTTTTCCTTTAGCCCTACTTTACTTTTGCTTTAGCCCTACTTCTCTTTTCCTTTAGCCCTACACTTTTCCTTAGCCCTACTTCTCCTTTCCTTTAGCCCTACTTCAGTTTTCCTTTAGCCCTACTTCTCTTTTCCTTTAGCCCTACACTTTTCCTTAGCCCTACTTCTCCTTTCCTTTAGCCCTACTTCAGTTTTCCTTTAGCCCTACTTCTCTTTTCCTTTAGCCCTACTTCAGTTTTCCTTTAGCCCTACTTTACTTTTGCTTTAGCCCTACTTCTCCTTTCCTTTAGCCCTACCTCAGTTTTCCTTTAGCCCTACTTCACTTTTCCTTTAGCCCTATTTCTCTTTTCTTTTAGTCCTACTTACCTCTTCCTTCAGCCCTACTTCTCTTTTCCTTTAGCCCTACTTCAGTTTTCCTTTAGCCCTACTTCTCTTTTCCTTTAGCCCTACTTCAGTTTTCCTTTAGCCCAATTTCTCTTTTCTTTTAGCCCTACTTACCTCTTCCCCCAGCCCTACTTCTCCTTTACCTCTACTACCCCTTTCCTTTAGCCCTACTTCTCTTTTCCTTTAGCTCTACTTACCTCTTCCTTTAGCCCTACTTCACTTTTCCTTTAGCCCTATTTCTCTTTTCTTTTAGCCCTACTTACCTCCTTCTTTAGCCCTACTTCTCTTTTCCTTTAGCCCTACTTCAGTTTTCCTTTAGCCCTACTTCACTCTTCCTTCAGCCCTACTTCTCTTTTCCTTCAGCCCTACTTCTCTTTTCCTTTAGCCCTACTTCAGTTTTCCTTTAGCCCAATTTCTCTTTTCTTTTAGCCCTACTTACCTCTTCCCCCAGCCCTACTTCTCCTTTACCTCTACTCCCCCTTTCCTTTAGCCCTACTCCCCCTTTCCTTTAGCTCTACTTACCTCTTCCTTTAGCCCTACTTTACTTTTCCTTTAGCCCTACTTCTCTTTTCCTTTAGCCCTATTTCTCTTTTCTTTTAGCCCTACTTACCTCCTTCTTTAGCCCTACTTCTCTTTTCCTTTAGCCCTACTTCCCTTTTCCTAACTGGTTACTGCAGTCGTCAGGCCGTTATTGTAAATAGGAACTTATGTGTTACTCTTTATGTGTATGATAGTTTTGAGCTCCGTTAGCTGGCCTTGGTTATGAGAGCTAACTGTGGGGTTAGCTCAGACTACTGCAGCAATAAAGGCACATTATTAATATGGACTCAGGCCTCCCCTTGAAGAGCAACAACCTCCCCGCTGAGGATGCCATTAAAGACACCAGGAGCCTGAAACTCCATCCTCCCCCAAACAGAAACTTTTGGCCCACCGTTTGCAGGGTCCATCTAATGAGTTCATCATTTCATTCCTGTGCTGAAGCAGAGGGTTTTAAAACGAAACAATCAGCAGACACTCATCTCCTTTCGCTGGATGCTGGACAGAGTCGGCCATGTTGCCAACAATCTCAGGACGCGTCTCCCTGGGAAACTCTGGGAGTATTAGCCCATTATTTGGTCCATGCTAGGCCAGCGGGGGGCGCTTCATATCTTCACACCCCAGGAGGTGAAAGACAGACTCTCTCTGACAGCGGGGGGATGATGCATGGATGGAACGTAACAACTAATGAACTTTTCTGCTTACGTAGCTGATCCAACCTTCCCTAGTAGGAACTGATCAGCTTGGTAGATTTTTTAACAGCCGCCATGTTTCTTCTTTAACACTAGAGGGAGCTACTGCTGCTGTTGGTGAGACGTATTTTGTTCACTTCACTGAACAATGTGCTGTTCAGTCTATCTACGGCTGATATAAGCTCTTTTTTCTCTCTGATATCTCTGGATCTCAGTAACTCTAACTGTCCTCAACCACCTTAAAATATGGCGCCTTCTCCACTGAGCACTTATCGCTTTCCCAAGGTTTTATTTCTGGTAGTGAGGAGTTTGAAAGGAAGCCATCTATGTTCAGAAAGAAAAACTGAAACTGAAATCACCATTGCAATGTAAATCGTACTTGACAATAAAGTTGATTAATTGGGTTTGAAGTCTAGTTCCTGAATGCATCTCTGACATCTAAAGAGGAAAAAGATGTTTTTGCATAGATCACTTGGCTCACAGGTTATCCTACATGTAGGTCACTAGTTTTAGCCAATATCGCTACCTGACCTCTGCTTTCCGTGTGCTAGGGTTCAAACACTCTGTCCGCTGTATGCTCTGTGTGTTACTAAGTATTTTTAAGGCCTTTTACTGAGCCACAAAAAATGACTAATATAATTACTTCTGAACTTTCAAGGCTGTTTGGTCGTAATGGGACCCCTACCTGTCATCACACCAATCGGCCCCTGAATGATGTGGAGCTATTTGACATCAAAGCTGAATCAGAACAATCAGCTCCTTCCTAATAATGTAATCAGTTATCTCATAGCCAGCCTGCATGTTACCCACAACAACGTCCATATTAGAGGTAGATTCCAGGCTTCTGCTCTAGTAAGAGACAGTGAGAGACAGGCGGCGTTGACTAAGTCCTGATGGCGGTGACTGAGTCCTGGCGGCGGTGACTGAGTCCTGATGGCGGTGACTGAGTCCTGACGGCGATGACTGAGTCCTGACGGCGGTGACTGAGTCCTGACGGCAGTGACTGTGTCCTGGAGGCGGTGACTGAGTCCTGGAGGCGGTGACTGAGTCCTGAAGACGGTGACTGAGTCCTGACGGCGGTGACTGAGTCCTGACGATGGTGACTGAGTCCTGATGGAGGTGACTGAGTCCTGGAGGCAGTGACTGAGTCCCGACGGCGGTGACTGAGTCCTGACGGCGGTGACTGAGTCCTGACGATGGTGACTGAGTCCTGATGGAGGTGACTGAGTCCTGGAGGCGGTGACTGAGTCCTGACGGCGGTGACTGAGTCCTGACGGCGGTGACTGAGTCCTGACGGCGGTGACTGAGTCCTGATGGCGGTGACTGAGTCCTGACGGCGATGACTGAGTCCTGACGGCGGTGACTGAGTCCTGACGGCAGTGACTGTGTCCTGGAGGCGGTGACTGAGTCCTGAAGATGGTGACTGAGTCCTGACGGCGGTGACTGAGTCCTGACGATGGTGACTGAGTCCTGATGGAGGTGACTGAGTCCTGGAGGCGGTGACTGAGTCCCGACGGCGGTGACTGAGTCCTGACGGCGGTGACTGAGTCCTGGCGGCGGTGACTGAGTCCTGGAGGCGGTGACTGAGTCCTGACGGCGGTGACTGAGTCCTGACGGCGGTGACTGAGTCCTGACGACGGTGAGTGAGTCCTGATGGCGGTGACTGAGTCCTGGCGGCGGTGACTGAGTCCTGATGGCGGTGACTGAGTCCTGACGGCGATGACTGAGTCCTGATGGCGGTGACTGAGTCCTGACGGCGGTGACTGAGTCCTGATGGCGGTGACTGAGTCCTGGCGGCGGTGACTGAGTCCTGATGGCGGTGACTGAGTCCTGACGGCGATGACTGAGTCCTGACGGCGGTGACTGAGTCCTGACGGCAGTGACTGTGTCCTGGAGGCGGTGACTGGGTCCTGGAGGCGGTGACTGAGTCCTGAAGACGGTGACTGAGTCCTGACGGCGGTGACTGAGTCCTGACGATGGTGACTGAGTCCTGATGGAGGTGACTGAGTCCTGGAGGCGGTGACTGAGTCCCGACGGCGGTGACTGAGTCCTGACGGCGGTGACTGAGTCCTGACGATGGTGACTGAGTCCTGATGGAGGTGACTGAGTCCTGGAGGCGGTGACTGAGTCCTGACGGCGGTGACTGAGTCCTGACGGCGGTGACTGAGTCCTGACGGCGGTGACTGAGTCCTGATGGCGGTGACTGAGTCCTGACGGCGATGACTGAGTCCTGACGGCGGTGACTGAGTCCTGACGGCAGTGACTGTGTCCTGGAGGCGGTGACTGAGTCCTGAAGATGGTGACTGAGTCCTGACGGCGGTGACTGAGTCCTGACGATGGTGACTGAGTCCTGATGGAGGTGACTGAGTCCTGGAGGCGGTGACTGAGTCCCGACGGCGGTGACTGAGTCCTGACGGCGGTGACTGAGTCCTGGCGGCGGTGACTGAGTCCTGGAGGCGGTGACTGAGTCCTGACGGCGGTGACTGAGTCCTGACGGTGGTGACTGAGTCCTGACGACGGTGACTGAGTCCTGATGGAGGTGACTGAGTCCTGGAGGCGGTGACTGAGTCCTGATGGCGGTAACTGAGTCCTGACGGCGGTGACTGAGTCCTGACGGCGGTGACTGAGTCCTGACGGCGGTGACTGAGTCCTGGCCGCGGTGACTGAGTCCTGACGGCGGTGACTGAGTCCTGACGACTGTGACTGAGTCCTGGAGGCGGTGACTGAGTCCTGACGGCGGTGACTGAGTCCTGGCGGCGGTGACTGAGTCCTGACGGCGGTGACTGAGTCCTGACGGCGGTGACTGAGAGTCCTGGCGGCGGTGACTGAGTCCTGACGGTGGTGACTGAGTCCTGACGAAGGTGACTGAGTCCTGATGGAGGTGACTGAGTCCTGGAGGCGGTGACTGAGTCCTGGAGGCGGTAACTGAGTCCTGATGGCGGTGACTGAGTCCTGACGGCGGTGACTGAGTCCTGACGATGGTGACTGAGTCCTGATGGAGGTGACTGAGTCCTGGAGGCGGTGACTGAGTCCCGACGGCGGTGACTGAGTCCTGACGGCGGTGACTGAGTCCTGGCGGCGGTGACTGAGTCCTGGAGGCGGTGACTGAGTCCTGACGGCGGTGACTGAGTCCTGAC